ACTTACCTTGTATTACCCCTCTCTCTGCACCCGAAGGAATCTTACAGAGGTTTCTAGGCTACCGATGTCGTGCATGAAAGCTTTTTACAAAGTCGATTGAAAACCAACTTTTGGCTTATGCATTGCCTCTCACATTTACTAAAGTTCAACAGTTAAAAAATAGCCAAAATGGGAAGAAACTAAGAGTGTATTCCCGACTCTAATCCAAAATCTCTATTACCTCTCCTATATATCAAAACATTTTCACCGTTCACTTTCTACTCGACAATGGATGTCATTTTTTGCATGGTGGTACGTTCAAGTACTATCCAAAAGAAGAACTTTTTGAGGGATAACATCAACAAAAAGTGTACCCTACACAAAATCCGGGCAATTTCTCAGCAAAGTGGGTTGGTTTTTTATCCTTTTTGAAAGATGATACTAGGACTCATGACAAAACATTCTACCTTCAATATTAAAATCGTCGGTTATTTTTCTTGAAGCATATTGCTCAAAAGCACTATAGTCCAAAAGTCGGTTTTTCTTTAAATCAAAATTTACCTGGCGGTAGTATTTTTTAAGCACATAATTCAAAGCCTAACTATGCAACAGGTATTATGTTCTAAAAAAGAAGTTTAAAAAATGAATATGCCCTAGGGGAAAACTTATGTAAACAGGAAAATTTTGTATTCAGTCTAAACGAAAAAGTGGAAATGCTACCTGGAACTTTTTTGCAGCATTCACATCTGCTCATATCTCGTCTCTCTGAATAAGGTGGTGGATTAGATACATTTCCAAATCGTGGTTATTCAACGCCTGGTATGTATTAAATAAACATATTACAGCAAGAGTTTTTGGAATCACTTTTGTACACCGTAATGCTTAAGCCTGAATTTGTAGCCATAAAAATGGTGTTTCCTATTTATTCGTGTATAAATGAAATGGTAGGAAAATTTGTGCATTTAACTAGAAATTTTTCATAAAACTTACTCAGCTTGATCTGTAATTCAAAAGTCGCCACTTTGCCTAAGTAAAAGCAAAACTTAGACGACTCAGAAATCAAGATCTACCATATGCATACCTATCACTTTAAAATTTTTGGTAATTTTGCTGCATTTTACGGAAGGAATTTAAGTTTTGAGCAATCATGTTTTCAGTAGCATTTCTGTTTTACTAAGAAATACGTTCATTAAATTTTTGTCGAATTTCAAACATTTAATTAGTAAGTAGCAATAAATTGATGGCGCGAGTCCCTTATTAGTATTCTTCTCTAAAGGTGCATATGGTAAAATATTAAACCGCTGTTATGCTGGTAAAAGACATTTGACTTCTACACACCTAAAACCGTATGTCAACCTGCTTTTTATTTAGGCATAAGCAGTTTAAAATCTTGAAATCATCTGCTTTAGGCCAGTTGTGAACTAACTAAAAATCATTCGGAATTCATACTTAAAATAGCATAACAGGGCCTACAAATTCAAGAATATGTCGGTTTGGCAGAAAGTCTTGCTTTTAGTGGAATTACCAATGACATCGTCACAAGACCGCTTTCTTTCTTCTCCGTAAAAGAGTTCCGCAAAGTTGCCGCGTAACCTTACGCTTCCAATTGTCCAGAAGTAAAACCGCAATAAATAGTTCTGTTGAGTAGGAAAAGCTAAGTGTTTAAGCAAAGAGCGCCGTTTCCTTGGTTGGAGAAGTCAAACGGTTTTAGAGGTATTATTAAACTGCTACTTGAAAATGTGTCGAGAGATCAACCTCAACTTGGTCTAGATTGTTTATACAGTCAAAAGTAGGCGGTAATTCGTCAATCCCGAGCGCCATATATGGAGAAAGCAGCAACAGTTATTTGCAGTGTCAGTCTTGACACACTGACAAATTTGTTTAGCTTGTCTAAGCCCGCTACTCTAAAATTTGTGTGCTCGGTCATTTTGAAAAGTCTTAAATTCTTAGTGCCCAACAAATGTATAATAATTTCAAACTGTTGCCAATATGCGAGCTTTTACAAGCCCAATTTTCAAGGTTTAAGACAGGAATGCACAAAATGGCCTTAGACTTACTTGAGCAAAGTGTAAATTGTGTGGGTTGCATTAAAATCACCGGAAGTAACTACAGAAGTCAAGTGTATATCCCCCTCCCCTCACCAATTTCAGGCGGTATTTCTTCTAAAGCAGGTACGTTTTGCTGCAGTCACCGTGATGGAAATGCCTAATGCATTGTGAGCATCTGATTCATTGTAGTCCTTCTTGTCTACGAGAGTAAGGCAGCTTATCTCGTACGCCTCCGACTGGCTTTACAGTGATCAAATAACCTCAAGGGTGTCCACACTTTTATTAAACGCTTAATTCAATGGGTGTTATTTTAAGGTGTCGACCATTTTTACTGTAGGCTATCTCATAAGTTAGGTCAAATATCTATCACATGCTTTCTTGTGTTATTTAGACGATGAAAGGGGAAGCAAAGAGAAAATATCCTTGGGTTTGTCTCACTCAAATCCTTTAAATGCTAAGCAATTCTGACACCTTTTTTCAAAGTTTTCGCTATCTACCTATCTGTCTCTCCAGCAAACTCGCCACCTATCCATTCATCTCTTTTGTCACATACCACTCCATCCACTTCTTTTTCCAACTACTCATCTCACCATCTATCTGCCTACACATAAATAGTTGGCTAGTGGGTCAGAGAGCTTCCTCACCACCTATCTTCCCACCTCTATATCTTATAATCTGTTGGTTACAATTGAGACTTTAGAATTAGGGAATGGATAAATTCACTCGTCGATATATCAGTTGCATAAATTATTCACTCCCATGGGTTTGATTAGAAACTTAACCGTATACATAGAACGAGTATTTAAGTAGTCAATTTGCTCATGCTTACCTGCTCCACTAAGGTAAGAAGGTCAAAATATGGCTACATCGGTCTCTCATGGGCAATTCGGTCAATATCGTCCCACATTGTAAAAGGATTGGGTATGCTGATTAAAAGCTTGTTTATACCAAAGTAAAAAAGTAACGTTACTCGGAGGAAATTTAATTAGTGTCTATAATCATACCTACGCCATTCTAAACTATGTGAAATAACTTTGAGACTCTTTTGCCATTTCAACGTACTTTTATTTCATTAATGAGACATCCATATCCGTATTTCCTCTTAAAGATCCAAAATTTTTTTTTGGAATTGAGACTAATTGGTTTGGAACAAAATCGTCAAATTAATGTCCCACTTAAAATAGGCGGAATAGGATTGTAGTCTAAAAGCGTTTTCGTGCTTTGACAAGGCGCTAAAGATAGAAGCCCCGTCCTAGTTTAAATTCTACGCCATACAAAGATTAACTGCTAGCTCCTACCGTAATTATAATTATCCTTACTGCTTTTCATTAATGATGCAAAAGCAAATAGCATTTTCCTTTAATTGTTCAGTAAATTTTTGATCCAAATTCTATTTAGATATCCATTAAGTACGGCTAATTGCTAACTGACATATTTGACTTAATCCGTTATAATGCAGGAAATTTTACTGCATTCGATTATCACTAGGTTTTAGGAAATATTACTTTTATTTTAAGAAATAGTGAATGAGTTTGTCCTTAAAATGAAATAGTAATAGTTTAATGACTATTTAAAGGACTCTTTCCGAGTGGGTCAGCTTAGAAGGATATTTTTACTAAATAAAATATTTGGCCTTTCTAAATGCCGTTAAAATGAAAATATCCAATTTTGCTAAATAAAGACTTTAGGAGAATAATTTATTAGAATGCTTAGGATTACCAAACTTTTGCATATATATTATGGGATTAATCCGTTAAATGTTGTAAAGCCATATCCAAATCTATTATAAAAAATGTATTTACTAAACTATTTAGTGCAACAATAATTAACTTTGGCTCCATTTCAATGTCTACCTGATCTGCACAAAAATCTAATGAGACCTTTTACACATCCAGAATAGGCATGAAAGCAAAATGATTGACTCTTTTTTGTTCGCATGTTTCCTTCCCCATTCACCATGGTTGTGTCTTTAACTATACATTTCCTTTTACAAATTTGTCCTCCGGTAATGCGCTACATTTTATAATCTTCTCGAAGCATTCTACAAAGCTTGATAATAATTTACTGCAGGAATTTTTATGTGGGAATTGAATAACTCACCGAAACCTACAAAAAGACTTTCTCAAAAAGCCTTAAAACATGAACGAATATTGCTGTAGAAGCCCTTAAGCAAGATGAAGAGTTGACTAAGTTAAAAATGCAAAACAAAATTACATTATGTAGCTGCTGCTTAAACATGAGTATGTTAAAAAAAAGCATCCTTAATGAATCAATTTAGGGATAAGCTGCTTCTTAGGAGTGGTTTTACATATATCGCCGAGATTCACCATACAGTAAGGTATCTTGTCAAATACTTGTTTGCTTTTTTCAAATAATGAAGTGCCTCTATTAGATCGCTTTTGCAACCAAGAGGTTTGTCTGTTTCCTCGAAGGGATAAGTCTAGTTTTACAGAATAAAACCTTTTAAGTTTCTAAAGTTCTTCCAGCTTTCACCTTAAACCAAAGTGTATAACTACCTTTTTAGTAGTCTATGACTAGTTTAATTGCTCAAATTTGTAAGGCTACAAGTAGAGAGCTAATAATGCAGGAGGCAAGTATCTTTTTGATGCGAAATTTATTTGAGACTTTGGTAAAAACGCATTCCATAGCACATTAAGCTCTACTAGCTTTTGTGTTTATTGTTGAATAGCGTAACACATTTAGCGAAAATTTCCAGCACAAATAAATTCGGTACAGATTATTTTATGCATTATAAACAGACACTTCTGGTCGGTACAGCTTCTTAGTATTTAACGACAAACAACTTAGTTGTGAATTAAAGAATAGCTCTTAGAAAAGGAGTATTTCTCAAATTCAAAATTTCTTTGAATGCACCCTTATTTATCAACAATGAAGGATCTATAATTTTACAACTAATCATTTAATCATCTGAGAATTGGCCCAAATTCCTGGCTGATTTTGGAAAGCATTTAAATGGCAGAACTAAATTATTCAACCTATTTTAAGGTAATAGCCTCATTAAAACCAAAAATCGTAAATGCCTCCTGCAACTATGCTTTAACTTTGGCTTTCTAAAGCAATAAAAAAAAGGCATTTATAATTGCTGAAAAAGTTTTATGAAACTGTTTTGGTGTCTGATTTTTGGTCACTTTTATCAAAAACCCGGACTGGTAACAAAAGTTGTGACAAAAGTTGGCCAAAAGTTGTGCCCACTAGCCTCCATGGCCTCAAAAAATAGTAACTGATCAATCTTTGCGCTATTTATTATCACATCACTTTTGACCCATGAATAGTTTTCTGCACCAGGTATCAACTACCTTGATGATCAGTCCTCAACGTGTTGGCCTATACTTAGCATCTTTCTCAAGAAATAGCTAGCTTCTTTAAAACAGGCGCTGTCATTTGGTTGATATTTTAATGTAAAAATGGCTAAACGATTGCAGTTATTTGAGTCGATTGCCCAAGTAGAACGTTGAAATGTTAAATGCAAAGCCATTAAAACAAAAAACGAAACACAATGAAACAGGAACAAAATTTCGATCTATTAAAGAACCTAAAACGGATTACCAGATGGTCGCTTGACACTCAATCTGATCTCACAACTGTAAAAATCATCAAAGATGCTTAAATTTAAACAGTCTAAACCACCCTTTGTAACAGCTTGCAGTTTTATAGCCTTATCCACAACATTGTGGTAGTTATTCGCATAAAAATAAGCTGCTTTTGACTTGATTATTAACGCTTAAGTGAGAACCGCTAGGCCATTTCCATTTTGAGCAATGATTTACACATTAATTAACTAAAAAGTGGTTTTTGAATTACACTTATGTCCTAAATATACCTGTTC